CTCCCACTCCAAAGGCTCAGGGCTTGATCTTTGGTCAGGAACAAAGTTTCCACAAGTGGTTCGTTATGGCATTAAGTGAGATTAAAACAAATATACAAAAATGAGAAACCAAAGATGAACCCCAGACAAATGGCAATTACAAAATCAGACAAATAATAATTAAAATAATGGAATATACACATATACATATACACCCATGAGCAAAGTGAAAACAGTCCAACAAAAATAAAGTGCAGTAGATTAGTCCGGCAAACAAAGTAAATCAAAATTTATATTTACCAGTTAAGAACAAAGCTAACTAAAGCACAAACTGGAAAACAAAACTAAAGCAAGGTGCCAAGTGGGGAATAAAGCATTGAAAACAAAACTAACAAATATGTTGAGAGGAAAGGAAAGAAAGAAACAAAAAAAAGAATAGATATGCAAAGTTAAATAGAGGTAGACAAAGATTTGTATACATTAAAGATTAAACTGCAAGGGGAAAAGAACAATAGGAAAGACAAACAAAGGAATAAATGTAGAAAAAATATAATAGGTTTTTTTAAAAATTAAAAATTAAATTATAAAAAAGAGAAAAGAAAGAAAATGGAAGAAGACAGACAATGGAAAAAAAATGGAAAACTCCACAGTACTGCAAAAGCCCAATGTAGAGGCAGAGGTTTATAGCAACAATAAAAAGTGTGAATGAATATACACACATACATATACACCCATAAGCAAAATCAGAACAGTCCAACAAAAATAAAGTACAATAGATTGACCTGGTGAACAAAGGAAACCAAAAATTATATCTGCCAGGACAAAACTAACTAAAGCAAAAACTGGAAAACAAAACTAAAGCCAGCTGCCAATTGGGGAATAAAGCAATGAAAATAAAACTGACAAATGTTGAGAGGAAAGGAAAGAAAGAAAAGAAAAGAAAGAATAGATATGCAAAGTTAAATAGAGGTAGATGAAGAAGATTTATATACATTAAAGATTAACTGCAAGGAGAAAAGAACAATAGGAAAGGCAAACAAAGAAATAAATGTAGAAAAAACTATAATAGGCTTAAAAAATTAAAATTAAAAAAAGAGAAAAAAATGAAAACTCCACATAACTGCAAAAGCCCAATGTAGAGGCAGAGGTTTATAACAGCAATAAAAAAATGTGACTGAGGTAAAAAACAAGCTCAAAAGTTTAATTAGAGTTCATAGTGCCAATAAAATCAACAACTACAATGGGGGGAGAAAATAAAGCAAAAAAAAAATATCCAAAAGAATCTACAGAGCAAGTCAAAACATAAGAATAATAAATGTTTTTCTTGAATCACTGCTACTAGAGTCCTTTCCCTTGCTGGGAGTCACAGTCCACTTCACCTCCCTAGGATGCCCTCCAACACTGTGCTGATTTCTGGACCTGCTGTGGGGGCAGCTCAGATTCTAATCTGGCCCTACTCCTATGTGTTCTTGCCTCCAATGTCCACAGCTATCAGAACTTGTGCATTTTCTTTTGTGGGAGCTCTCAATGACCTTTTATATAGTCCATCAACACAGAGTCTGCCTAGTTTATCATGTGGATTTAACCTGCAGCTTGTACAGCTGGTGGAAAGATAGATTTTGGGCCTTCTTCCTTAGCCACACTGCCCCTTGGTTTCAACTATGGTTTTATCTCCACTTCTGCATGTGGCTCATCCACTGGGGTTTGCTCCTGAGGCTGCCCTAGAGGACTTAGGTTTGCCTCCATGAGGACCAGGTGTGGAGGTGGTGCAGCTGCTTGGGTTGCAGGGGTTCTGGCAGCACCAGGTACTCAAGGGAGTTGACGGCCAGGGCAGCAGGAAATATAGTGCTCTAGTAGGGTATGGCAACCAGTATTGGTCAATACACTCCAGTATTCTTGCCTGGAGAACCCCACTCCCTGACAGAGAAGCCTGGCAGGCCACAGTCTACAGGGTTGCAAAGAGTCAGACACTACCGAAGCAACTTTGTACGCATAGACGCAGGACTTTTTTTTACCTGTGGCAGCTCTGCCCCAGTGAGAGTTGAGCGTGAAGGTGGTGCAGCTGCTTGGCTTGTGAGGACCCTGGCAGCACCAAGTGTGCAGGGACATGGACTGCCTCCGCCACAGGAGTTATGGTCCTATCAGTGCCTTTTTTTGAGCCTCTTGTAGCTAGTGATCAGAAGGCCTCTTGGGCCAGTCTTTCTCCTTAGCTCTGCTCATTCAGGCGCTTAGAGGGCTCCCTTGCCTGGGGTCCTTCTCTGTTGTTTGGAGCATCAGGCACATACAGGGGCCCCCCTGGCTGGGGTCCTACTCTGTAGATTGGCACATCAGGCACTTAAAGGGGCACCCTAGGTGGGGTCCTACTCTGTAGTTCAGTGCCTCAGGCATTTGATGGGCCAGCCTCTCTATTGTTCAACTGCTGATGTTGGCCTGTGGGGAGAAAGAGGCTATAGTGATGGCTCTACCACCTACACATGACTAAGCAGTATCGCCTTGCTTAGATGGCTGCCCGGCTTTCCTCCACAGGCATTTCTCATCACAATCTCCTCCCTCACCTCCCCTGGATCCATCTTTCCACAGTCAACAGCAGCCCTCATCCTGGGATCACTCCACACTCCCCAAACTCCAGCTCCCAGCCCCTGTGCCTTCCAGGGGACCAGCATTCTTGTCGAGGGTATGTATGGCTGTGGCAAGGTCTGTCTGAGTCTCATTCCATTTAGGCTGCCACAGATCAGCTATTTCACTCTCAGCCTTAAATGTTTCTCCTCTGAATCAGACAATTGCCCGAATGTGGGGATTGGACCCCAGCTTCAGTTCCCCCACCTGCTGAGGGCAGGTCCAGTCCTACTAACACTCCTGTTTTCCCCTTCCTTTGTCCTACTGAGTTTTGTGTGGTTCTATATATTCTGTATATCCTCTGGTCAAGTACTCCTGTCTGCTCTCAGCTGGTGTTCTGCATGCACTTCTGTGTCTGAAGGTGTATTCCTGATGTATCCATGGAGAGAGATGTACTCCATGTCCACCTACTCCTCTGCCATCTTATTCTCCTCCCATAAAATTTCTTAATATTAGCAAATAGAATTCAACCATACATAAAAAGAATTTTACATTATACCAGAAAGTGAAAGTGTTAGTCACTCAGACGTGTCTGACTCTTTGTGACTCCATGGACTGTAGCCTGTCAGGCTCCTCTGTCCACAGAATTCTCCAGGGCAGAATACTGAGTGGGTTACCATGCCCTTTTCCAGGGGATCTTCCCAACCCAGGGATAGAACCCAGGTCTCCTGCATTGCAGGCAGATTCTTTGCCACTTGAGCTACCCAGGAAGCCAACATTTCAGAATGCTAGCCTCGTTTTGTAATTAGTAATCGGCCAATACAATCCACCATCTTAACAGGCTTAAAAAAAAAAAAGTCACATAATCATCAATGCAGTAAAGCATCTGATAAAATTCAAACTCATTCATGAAAAACAAAACAGAAGAGAACTTCCTGAACTTGGTAAAAAGTATCCAAGGAACACCTACAGGTGTTTTTTAATGGTATAGGCAGCATAAATAGTGAAAGATTGAATGCTTTCCCCCTAAGATTGGACTAAGGCAAGTATGTCTGTTCTTAGCACTCTATTTCAAGATAGTACTGAATATTCTAACCAGGGCAATAAAGCAAGAAATGGTAATTGACATACAGAATAAAAATAAAATTGCCCTTTAGAGCTAGAAATTCCCAAGGAATCAATCAAAAACTCCTAGAATAAGTCAGGTTACAAGATAAATATCCCCAAAGCTACCATATTTCTATATACTAGTATGGATATGTGGACACCAAGATTAAAAACAAATTACTCAGAAAAAAAAAAAGTACTTTGGGGGTAAAACATGAACATGAATTGTGTGTTGAAAACTACACAGTGTTGATGACAAATCAAAGCTTAAAATAAATACATACCATGTTCATGCATTGGAAGATTCAATATAGGAAAGACACTAATTCTCCCCAAACTGATAGAGGTTTAACACAATTGCTGTCAGAATTCCAATGATATCTTTTGTAGATATAAAAAAAATTTAAACATGGAAATATAAAGGAACCAGAATAGCTAATGCAATTTTTAAAAAGAATAATAGTGGGAGGAATTAGTCTACCTGATTTTAGAACTCAATACCTACCATACTCAAGACCATAGGATTGATGAAGAGATAGACACATAGATCAACAGAACAGAATTAAAAAGGAAAAAAAAACAGAAATAGGTCCACACAAATAGGCTCAAATGATTTTTGACAAAGATAAGGGCAGTCCAACGGAAGATAGACAGCCTTTTCAACAAATGGTACTAGAAAAATTGGACATTCCTAGGAGAAAACAAAAGCCTTGACTTAAGTCTCCTACCTTATAGAAAACTTAACTCCAAATGGATCATGGATTTCAATGTAAAACTATAAAATCTTTAGAAAAAAATAAAAGAAAATCTTTGGGACCCAGGGCTAGGCAAAGAATTCTTAGACTTGACAACAAAACAAAATCCAAGAGAGGAAAAAATAACAAATTGAACACTGACAAAATTCAAAACTATTGCCCTGCAAATGATCCTATTCAGAGAATGAAAAACCAAGCTACAGACTAGGAGAAAATATTTGCAAACCACATTATTTGACAAAAGACTAGTGCATACAATATGTAGAGTTCTCAAAACTCAACAGTACAAAAGCAAGCACTGTATTCAAATGTGGGCAAAAGACATGATGAGAAATTTTACGAAAGATACACAGGTGTCAAGTAAACATGAAAAGAAGTGCTTGTTTAATGAAACTACCCTATGCTATCTCATACCATATGCACACACACTTTTGATGGTTAGAGACCTAAAAGTTTATATCCTCTCCTCTGTAACCCCACAGTGCCTCTACATTGTCTATGTTGTAGTGAAAAAAAAAAATGTATGTAATATGTCCCTTAGTTATTTCTCTATTTCATGCTAATGAGAAAAAATAGAATCATATATAAGAAAGAAATACAAACCGACATCTCCTTCGACCTCTTTTTTCTTCACCCGCTTAATCCTCTTCTTTAGTACCTTCATAAGGAAATTAGCAAATTTATTGTTTTCTCCAAGCGCTGTTTGGAAACCAGCATAGAGGGCTTTTTCTTGGTCCTGTAGCTTGGCTACTTCATTCTTTTTCTCTTCCATCTCTTTAAGAGTTTCATTTATTTTCCACTAAATGAAAAAGAATATCAACAAATGATAAATAAAATTCTTCCTGATAAACTGGGTTCAGAGAATAATGTACATTACAGTGTAAGGTTACAGCCTACAAACATTTTAAAATCTTAATATAAGTTTACATTTCTGATGTTTGCAGAGTCATTCGTTTAAAACTTATAATTCTTTTGTAAAAATCAATTAAGGTCAGAATCAGATAAGATAGATTTTTTGATGTTTCACTTCCTCAAAAAACTAAATTAATTTAAAATTTTTACTTATATGTGAATGTCAGCTAATATTTTTCTGTATGTGCTCTCAAAAAAGACTCTCTTTCATATCAACACAAGATACTTAAAACAAAAAGACAAATTTGTTCTTAGTGAAGCTGATACATCTACAAACTGACATCACTATTGTGTATACATTATCTAATAGACTCCTTCTTCGTTTATGACAAAGATAGGTGGTATAATTAATCTCCTTAAATTTACATATTAATATATATAATAAAGACAATTTCCTGTGCTAGTCAATTATGTATTACTCTGAAAGTAGCTATCATATTTAAGAAATTTACCAACTCCTTTTCCAAGTATGTTCATTCATAATGATAATATATAATAAAAACTCAACTTCACATGATAGCTACTAACAACAAAAATAATTTTAAATACAAATGTAAACAAAACATAAGGGTCACTTTTGAAAATTTTATATTCCTACTTTATAAGATATCAGATCAAATTCATTAAAAATTATGATTCACTGTTCCCTGAGCAAGGTTACCAAAAATAGAGAGCAAACAGGAATAACAGGAAAAAGGAGGATGAAGAGAAGACAAGAAAGAGATGTAGACTAGAACAAGGGGGGAAATTAAGAAGGAGAAAAGAAGAATTGAGTCCCTTCCATAACTAAGGCTGTAGCCAGTTAGCAATCTTTTGACCATTCATACTTGCATGTCCTGTTCCTCTTTGTCTAATGAATTAACACGCTCTTGAAGTATGTTCTCCTGTTTTTCAAAGTTCTTCAGGAGAAGCATTTCTTGAAATAATGTGACATGGTGCAGGTCGGATAATTTCATCTGAATATCTAACTTCAGTTTCTGATGTCTCAGGAGACGGAGTTCTGCATCAAAAGTGACAATCAGTTCTTTGATCTGAGGTGGAAGAAGATTTGAGGGTATGTTAGAAGCTTAAAACACATAAGTGCATCTTTAAAACTATCCAACAATACTGATTTGTTTGGGTAAAAGCATTTTGTTTATTATGCCCTTATTTTGGATGGAAAATTATAAAGGTGGGTGAGTAGGCACATGTGTATGTATGTAGTCACATAAATCAGTTCAGAATATAAATTAAATTTATTAAGTGGTAGGAATTCTTGAGGAAGGTGCAGTCCTTTCAGCTATTTCTTCATAATTGATTAACCCATTGATCAAGAATGTCATTCCTACTTTAAATCAGTTTTATAATAAATCTTGATTAAATCTTTGTTTAAATTGGAGACTATGAGCTCTTCATGGATATTGTTTATATTTGTCTCCATTCCATCCCCACAGTATCTCTACACTGTCCTTCACACAGTAAGCACTAAAAAATTTTTACTTTCCTCACCTTATTTTGAAAAATTTCAAATCTATGGAACAGCAAATTTTTAAATAGATAAATGTAATTGTGGAACCATAAGAAATTTATTCAATCTTCTTTACTTAGTTTATTTATAGATGAAGAAATTGAGGCTAAAAATGATTTCCTTGAGACCAAAACTAATTTGTTATAGATAAGAACTCAAGTAACTCAGGTCCTAGTCTAGACTTTATTCCACTGCCATTTCAAATGATCTTAAATCCTGTTTTACTTTGATTTTGACATAGCTTCTCCCTTGTCCCATCCCAAAGGAGATGAAGAAAGCAAAAGACAGCCCCAAGGGCAGATTCTCTTAAAGAAACTAGTACAACAGGAAGAATACACACCATTCCATGTTTTTCATTAGGCTGTACATGATGCAAAACCTTGACTATCTAACGCCTATAGTGAGTGAGGGTTCAACCTAAGGCTGAGAAAGAGGAAGACATCTGTGGGTCTGGGGCAGTGAAACTGCTAGAGAATTTCAGAGAGCTGAAAAACAGAAACAAAAACAAATTAAGGAAAAGAAAAATTAAACTTTTAATGTTTGACTGTAGACTAAGTGGGTTCCCCTTTTAATGCTTGCTTAATAAATCTGAATTATTTTTAAGCTTCTTTGGAGACAGGACTATATTGTCTTTAGTGCAACACCATTCTGCAACTATACCACATAGGTGTCCAAGTTGTAAGGGTTATGCTTGTTTTATTCTCACTACACTTCATATCTGTAAGCTTTATGAAGATACAGTACATGTCTGGCTTAAGAAATGTTGCATCCCTACTACCTAGCTTACACTGTTTCTGCACATAGAATGGGCAATAAATATTTGTTAAATTAATAACTAGGTAAAATTAAATCAATCAAAACTTTTTACAGAAAATTTACTATATGTCTGAAATTGTCCTAGATACTTCAGGGGAATCAGAAGTATATGTGGCCCTTCCCTCAAGAACTGTATGATCTAATGAAATGGAGACTAAAGAAAAAAAATCAATAAAACTGATTGATAAAAAGGCTGGTCTTTGAGAAGATAAAATTGATAAACCTTAATTCAAACTCAACAAGAAAAAACGGGAGGTGGCCTAAGTCAATAAAATCAGAAATTGAAAAGGAGTACGACTGACACCACAGAAATGAACAGACCAATGAACAGAACAGTAATGAAGTTGAATCAGACTGGATAGTTTCACAGGTGAATTCTACCAAACATTTAGAGAAGAGTTAACAGCCATCCTAAAACTACCCCAAAAAATTGCAAAGGAAGGAACACTTCCAAACTCATTCTATAAGGCCAGTATTATCCTGATACTAAAAGCAGACAAATATATCATGCAAAAAAGAGCATTACAGCCCAATATCACTGATGAACATAGATGCAAAAGTCCTTAACAAAATATTAGCAAACTGATCCCAACAGTACCTTAAATAATCATACATTATGATCAATAAGATTTATTCCAAGGATGCAAGGATAATTCAATAGACACAAATCAGTATGTTGCACCACATTAACAAATTGAAAAATAAAAGCCACATGATTATCTCACTGCAGAAAAACTTTTGACAAAATTTAACATCTATTTATGATAAAATTTTTTTAGTATAGTTCAACATAATAAAAGTCATAATATGACAAATCCATAGCTAATATCATACTCAAAGGTGAAAAACTGAAAGCATTTCCTCTAAGATCAGGAACAAGACAAGGATGCCCAATATTGCCTCTTTTATTCCACATAACATTGGAAATCCTAGTCACAGCAATCATACAAGAAATGAAAGGAATCCAAATTGAAAAAGAAGAAGCAAAACTATTTCTGTTTGCAGATGACATATACATAGAAAATGCTAAAGACACCACCAGACAACTCCTAGAGCTCATCAATGAATTTAGTAAAGTTGCAGGATATAAAGTTAATATATAGAAATCTTTTGCATTTCTATATACTAAAAATTAATTATTAGAAAGAGAAATTAAGGAAGCAATCTCATTTACCATCACCTCAAAACAAACAAAATACCTAGAAATAAATCTACCTAAGGAGGTAAAAGACCTATATTCAGAAAATTCTAAGAAACTGATGGAAGAAACTGAAGACCACGGGAACAGATGGAAAAATATACTATGCTATGGATAGATATATACTATGGATGGAAAGAATCAGTATTGTTAAAATTACTATACTATCCAAAGCAACCTATGGATTCAATGCAATCCCTATCAAAATACTAATGGCATTTTTCACGGAAACAGAACAATTTTTTTTTAATTTGTATGGAAAAACAAAAGACCCCAAAACAATCTTGAGAAAGACAAACAGAGCTGGAGGAGTTATACTCCCTGACTTCAAGATCATACTACAAAGTTGTAATGATCAAACAGTATTACACTGGCACAAAAACAGACACATCAATCAATGAAAGGAAACAGAGAGCCCAGAAATAAACTCAGGCACATATGGTCAATTAATCAGTGATGAAGGAGATAAGAACATACAATGAAGAAAGATAGTCCCTTCAATAAATGATGCTGGGAAAATGGGACAGTTATATATAAAAGAGTAAAATTAGAACATTCTATAACACCATACACAAAAATAAACTCAAAATGGATTAAAGACCTAAACATAAGGCTGGAAACCATAAAATTCTTGGAGGAAAACATAAGTAGAATACTCTTTGACATAAATCATAGCAATTTTTTTTTGGCTCTGTCTGTTAAAGCAAACAAAAACAAAAATAGACAAATCTAATTAAGCTTAAAAGCTTTCAGATATCAAAGGAAATCACCAAAAAAAAAAAAAGATGAAAATACAACCTACTGCATGGGAGAAAATATTGGCAAATGATATGACTGATAAGGGGTTAATATCCAACTTGTATAAACAACTCATACAACTCAACATCAAAAAAATGATTTAAAAATAGGCAAAAGACCTGAATAGACATTTTTCCAAAGAAGAAATGCAGGTGGCCAATAGGCACATGAAAAAATGCTAAATATTGCTAATCATTAGGAAAATGCAAATCAAAACCACAGTGAGATAATCACCTCACACCTCATAGAATGGCTATCATCAAACACACACACACACATACACAAATAACAAATATTGTTGAGAATGTGGAGAGAGAGGTCTCTCAAAATGCAACCTAAGGCAGCAACACTTAGGAGGCAACCCAAAGTGTTCATAAACAGATGAATAGAAAAAGAAAATGCAATACATACATATGTGAAACGGAATACTACTCAGCCATATAAAAGAATGAAATTTTGCCATTTGCAATGACATGGATGGACCTGGGGAATATTATGATTAGTGAAATAAGTCAGTCAGAGAAAGATAAATATTATATGTTAGCAGTAATATGTGGAATATAAAAAAATAAAGCAAACTAGTGAATATAACAAAAAGAAAACAGAAATATAGACAACAACGTAGTGGTTACAAAACTAACAATACAAAACAGTAGGAAAAATTAGTATAAAGCATGAGGTGCTGATTTAAGTGCAAATGGAGTTTAGAAGAAACAAGAGTATGTAGTGAGGGCAGAAGATTATGGAGAGAGTCTGGAAGTGAGCTGAGTTTTAAATAATGGCAACTTTGAAAGGAAGTCATTGCAGGCAGAAGGAAATAGCAAAGAAAAAAGCACAGATGAAACTCAGAAGGAGGGAAGTGAGTGGAGAGAAACAGGAAGACTGAGAAAACAGGACCGGAAGAAGTAGACATAATGGTGATGAATAAGGTTGGGGGCAGGGTAACAGGGGGTGCCTTGAGAGTGTGGCCAGAAAGACACACTGAGCAAGGGGACTCCGTACGACTGGCAGGAGGGAGCTTTCCATCCAAGAAAGGACTTTTTCCTCCGCTATTCAGAGCACCTCCTGCACACAACTGGCCCCAACCTGGTCCTGATTTTCCTAGAAATAAAAATATTTGCTATTCCATGATTCTGAGGCTAGCTGTTAACCGTGAACACTCGCACTAACAGGGCATTAGAGAAAGAGCAGGGGTGAAAAGCAGATGGTGCCTCACTTTCACTGGAAGGTTTTAAATCATGTTCCATCCATCATCTGAAAGCTGCTCCATCACTTCTTTAGCATGACTTTAGTTAGATACCAATTAACATGGATTTGCCCTTGATTCATAGCTTTTCAAAAAGAAAAAAATTGATAAGCTCCAAAGTTCTGTGCAGAGCAGAATGATTTTCAGAAGTCCAGGGATGGGGAGGGAAGCCAAGCTATCAGTGAGCTGTGGACTGGTCAGAGTTTAGGGGGAGGTTAATGTAGAGAAGTTAAAAATAAGTAAGAATCTAGATCTAGCTCTTCCGTCTTTCAGCTTTAAATAAGCCGTCACATTTCTTACCCGGTTGATCAAATACTGTTGCATGTACACGTGTTTGATCTCCTCCCTCTTCATAATCTCCAGCTCCACGTCAGTTGGATCTGCTCTTTCAAATTCTGTGAACTTTGGAAGGTCCAGACTGAATGCTGATGCTTTTGATGCTCTAGACAATGAATCACGTGTTGTTAAATCTCCCTCCTTTCCAGAAGAGAGTCTGAGGAAGCCTCCAGCTGAGCCTGCAAATGCTGTCTGTTCCACCTGGTGGGCCTTTTCATCCTGACTTTTCACCTGCTGTTGCTTAAAAGCTAGGAGGGTTTCATCATCATACTGAAATCTCTTTTCTGGAACTTCTTCCGGGTATATCTGAGGGACCTGGGGAATGGGCAGGTGCTTGGATATGGGAAGAGTCAACTGAATGTTCTTCAGTTCTTGCTCCAGACACTGTATTTCCTCGATGACAGCCACCTTAAGGTCTCGAAGAGAGATGATGCTCTTGTTCATGTGCATTTTCTTTGAGTAGGCCTGAGAAAAGGAATAGGAGGGAAGTGAAATGACAACTCAACCACAAAGGGCAGTCTGAAATATGACTCAATTTTGTCCCTTGACTGGTATGGCTAGCAGAATTCAAGAAAAAAAAATCTTTCTGATCATTCCTGTTCACTACCAAGTTATTTTCTCTGATGGTTAGGCTTTTCCCTATTTCTTCTCTCCATAAGGGGGAGACAGTCCGGATATGACCTCTGGTGTCCCTCAACTGGCTTATTAGGCTGAGTTCCTCTGTCCTCCTCCCACTACTCACAGAAGTCCTTCATGAGCCCTGTACTCAGCCAGATACCAGGAGGGGGAAGGTCATCCTTTGGTTAGGAACACACAAGTAACCATCCTTCTCTGATGGAAACTCAAATCCCATGGGCTTAGACTCAAGGGTATCCAACTAGTATCAAACTACAGTTTAACCTGTTTTAATTCTGTATTTTGGCCACGTAATATCTGTAACTCCTTGTGCAGGCAAGGTCATGATTCTGAATTTCAGTATGACATCACACCAAGAGATTCCTGGATTCTTCCTTGATTCCTTCTTCATTTATCTAAGCCAAGCTACACCCCTGCTTCTACTCCCTGGTGCCACAGGTGCTTCCTCACTGCTAGTCCTCTCCCCAGTCTCTTTCTTAAATGTGTTTACCAGAGCCTATAATCACATGCAACCCTACTCCTGTGTGCAGTTAGGCAATTAGATGGCCCAAAAGCTATTAAGAGTAACTTTGCATAAATATACAGATTAATGAATATTAAAGATCAAAAGGCACTTCTTTGAGTAGTCTTATAAAACTTACAATGTGTTTACAAGCTACTGCAACAAAATAGAGGACACGTTTTACATAGTTAAGAATAAACCTTTAAAGCATTAAGATTTAAAGTCAAAATCCAGCCCTTGGGTGAGTTGGGGCCACATCTGAAGTACCTGGAGGATTGAAAATTAAGCCGAGAAGAACAAACCCAAACCAGCCTGATGCCTGTAAGGCCTATGTCTTTGAGGAGCCCTATTTACATACCAAGCTTCTTTTCAAGTTTTCCAAGTATCTCACACACTAAATACTAGCCACAGGGAGGGGGATGTATAATATACTATTTCTAACATGGTTGAGGAGGGACTTCCTTGGTGATCCAGTGGTTAAGACTCTATGCTTCCAAGGCAGGGGGTGTGGGTTAGATTCCTGGTTGGAGAATTAAGATCCAAAATGCCATGTCTATGGCATGGAATGGCATGACATGGCATATGTCCGGTGCCACAAAAAAAAAATTTTTTTTAATTTTTTTAATAAATAAAATGCTTGATACTTTTCAATGACTTTGAATTTAACTATGATAAGAATGACTGCTCATAAAGCAATCATCCTTCAATAAAAAATAAATAAATTTTTTTAAAAAAGAATGACTGCTTATTAACTCTCTAAAGAAGACTAGACATGTCTTGTCTTATTGTTGTTAATTGGTAGAAATGCTATTTGTTTTTAATAGACAATAAAACTGAGGCTTTGGGAGCTTTACATGACTAGCCAAGTTTATATAATTATTAAGTGGCAGAGATTAAGTGGAACAGAACCCTGACCTTCTGACCTGTGGACTAGTGTGTTCTGCATTATTTAATGCTATTACTTTAATAAAATAGATTTCAATATAGTGTAGTTCAGCTCAAGACATCACACCTGTCCATCACCTCTAACTGCACCATGAAATTTCAGGTTGGCTGACTGGCAAATTGTGATTGAAAAAACATTTCTCTATGAGAAAGGATGACACATGGTAGTTGAAACAGAAATTTCCTTAGAAAAACAGCTAGAAAAACAATCCAGTCACTAATAAAACATTCAAAATGTCCATTTGATCAGAAAAATCTATGAAGATTTACCTGTGGCTATGAATTGCCATACTGGAATCTTTGATGCTGGCAAGTACAGCATCTTCGGTGAAATTGAAAGACATTCCTTCCTCAAGATACTTTACTTCCATTTTTCATAAAATTATAAAATATTCAAATGTACTATACCTGTGGTATGACTTGGCACTCTTTGCAATGTGATGCCTTGAAATGGGCAATGTGCAGAGTCATATTAAGTGACCATATACAAAAGTCTCCTCAAAATATTAGCTCAGATGCCTTTTGAGCCTCTGAATGTGAAAAGTCACTTGTCAATTCAAAGTAAGTAATTACTATGATGGGGAGAGGAAACTTCAGTACGAAAATAGGTATGAGAGATCAGGATGACCAGAAGCAGTTTGAAAGAATGCAGAAAGAATCAAAATGGAATATATTAGTTGTTTAGTATTGAGTCTAAAAAAGTCTACATCTACAAAAGTCTAGAAGTCCTTCAAACAAAGGCTAAACACAGTAGCCTCTTTCCCTAAGTTTCTGGTAGTCCACAGCAGCCAAAAACAATGTCCAAGGATGTGTTTGAATTTCAGAGGTTCAAAGTCCATAAAATATAAGGCTTTCACCCATGAAACTGGTATTGAACCAAAGAACTAATTTGAACACTGGTTCTGCAATATTAATAATCATGGATAAATCTCTTATCTTTGGGGCTCAATTTCCTCATATGTAAAAATGGGCATTACTCTAGGAAAATGATGAAGGCCTTTTCCAATTCTAAACTTCTATGATTATATATCTTTATGGATCAGATAACAAAATGGGTGGTCTTAGCAGAATTAAGAAAAAAAACAAGGAATGTCTCATTGTCATGAAAACTATGGGTAGGTACCATAGAGTCTAGGTATCCCAGTTCCTCCTCCTTCTTGGCAGCATTTATTCTCATGTGTTCAGGTATCTTGTAGTCTGAGGCTGTCTTCAAATTAAAGTCTCCCATAAATAACTGGGCCTCTTTGATGGCCTGAACATCTTTGGGATCTTCATAGTCATCATCAGGTTTACTCTTGTACCTATCAGAAAAACCGAAAACACAGCTATAAACATAAAAATAAACTCTAACTTTTCTATTTTATTCTAGGTATAGAATCAAATTCAATCATAAAGAAAAAGCATAATTCTGAGTCTGTGGTGCAATTTCAGATTAAAAAAAAAAACTTACAGTTCCTCCCATTCTTTTTTTCGTTGCTGAATCTTCATTTGGGCCCTTTCAGCTTTTAATATAAGTTTCCTTGTTTTCTCAATTTGATTTTCCACCATAATTTCACTTAGGGTTTTAGGCCGAAATTTCTTCCCTTTCTCTATGACTGATTCTTCTGGCACACTAATACTTCCACCTATACAGACAGCCAACAATTTTTTTCAATCTTTTTGGAATATCAAGACAAAACTCAAATATTATTTTCAATCTGCCACATTTTTAAAAGTCCAAGAATATATTGAATCCATAGTTATGGTATATATTACTATGAATTAAACCCCACCAAAAAAGTACTTTAGAACACCAAAATAAAGAGATCTAAATCACAATTTTTACCTCTTAGAAATTTATTTAACTGGTGACATAAGACATATATTAAACAAGTAAAGAACATGATCATGAATAACAGTCTACTGGCAGACATTGGGAAGCTGGGAAAGAGTTCTGTAACATGATGATGGGGAAGAGAAAAGCAAGTGAGTCCTATTTGATGTGTAATTTGAGGTGATATCTACCAACTGTAGTGGTCTGCAGCCAATTTAAAACTGGTCAGAAACACACAAATCTAGAACTTAAAATTAATGGCTTTATCACAGACATGTGAAAAGATGCTCAACATTACTAGTCATCAGGGAGGGTGTTAGTCATTCAGTTTTGTCCAACTCTTTGCAAGCCCATGGACTGTAGGTAGAACTGTACAAGCCTGTCAGGCTTCTCTGACCATGGGATTTTCCAGGCAATAATACTGGAGTGGGTTGCCATTTCCTCCTCCAGAGGATCTTCTCAACCCAGGTATTGAACCCAGGTCTCCTGCATTGCAGGCAGATTCTTTACTGCCTAAGCCACCAGGGAAGCCCAGTCATCAGGGAAATGCAAATAAAAAACACAATGAGATATCACCTTACACCCGTCAGAATGGCTATTATCAAAAAGATGACAAATAACAAGTGTTGGTGAGGAGATAGAGAAAAAGGAATACTTGTGTACTGTTGGTAGGAATGTAAGTTGGTGCAGGAGATTCCTCAAGAATTAAAAATAGAACTACCATATGATGAACCAGGATTCCACTTTTGGGTATTTTTCCAAGGGAAAAAGTGCCACTAACACAAAAAGATATATGCACCCCTATGCTCATTGTAGTATTATTTACAACAGCCAAGATATAGAAGCAAACTAAGTGTTCATTGATAGGTGAATGGATAAAGAATATGAGGTATACACACACACAACAGAATATTACTCAGTCATAAAAAAAGAATAAAATATTTCCATTTGTGACAACGTGGATGACCTAAAGAGTGTTATGCTGACTGAAATAAGATGAGAAAAACAAATACTGTATGATTTCTCTTATATGTGGAACCTAAAAAATCAAAACAAATGAATAAACATAACAAAACAGAAATAGACTCATAATACAGAAAACAAATAGCTGGTTGACAGAGAAGAAGGGGTCGGAGGATGAAATAAGTGAGGGAGATTAAGAGGTACAAACTTTCACTTACAAAATAAATGAGCCAGGGGGATGAAATGGACACCACAGAAAACAGTCAATAGTGTAGTAATAACTTTGTATGGTAACAGATAATAACTAGACCTATCACGGTAATCATTTTATGATGTATAGAAATATGGAATCACTATATTGTAACCTGGAACTAACACAGTTTTGAAGGTCAATTATACTTCACTAATAATTAATTAAAATAAAACTATTGGTTTTATTAATTATAAGTACCTACTAGAGGAATTATTCAATTTTTGTCCAAGCTACATAGAGATATACTTTAGATATACATGAAAAATGTTAAATAATATGGATGGTTACCATTTTATTTCATATTTCAAATATATGGTACTGTGGAAAAATAAGTTAAACATGTCCTGGGTGGTCACAGAAAGATTTGATAATTAAAGTATATTTCATACATATAAAATAGATAACCAAGAAAGACCCACTGCATAGCACAGGGTACTATCCGTAACCTTTGTAATAACCTACAAAGGAAAAGAATCTGGTTAATGAATATGTGTGTGTGTGTGTGTAAAACAATCACTTTGCTGCATACCTGAAACTAACACAACACTGTAAATCAACTATACTTCAATAAAAATTAAAAGTATTATTTGATCTAGATCTCCCCAAAATGGGAGAATTCAGAAAGGAGAGGAGGGAATTGGTCACTTCATTAGGAAACTGCATGTGGATGTTTCAGACATAATTAGAAAGCAGCAAGCAGGATGATAAACTAATTGTGCCAGTCAAGCAGTATTTTATTGGGGATAAAATAGAGATATGTTGCAGAAGGATTCAATATGTGATAAGGGTTTCAGAAGTTATCCTAGAAGCAGAAAGAAGCCATTAAATGTTTCTCAATGAAGAGAGTGAAACAGTAATAATGTCAGTACTGAATCATATGCTCTAGCCTACATCTGGCCAGGCTGCAGTGCCCTTTACCCTTGACTAGGCTCTCCACTTCTGTTCCCAGAATTCCTGTCTTGCTCCTTCTCACCCCAGTCACCCTGTGGGCAGTCACAGGAGGCAGGGATTAGAGATTTATTTTCACACCTGTATTCTCAGCTCATCATTCTGTTTAATACATGTCCTTGGAAAAGAGTGTGAGTTGTGTTCTAGCCCTACACTCTGGGGTGGGGCCCACGAGTCTGGGAACAAACAGTTCCTAGGAAAACTAGCATCCTAGATTTAAGAACATCCTAGATTTAAGAACAGTTGGACAAGAGAAGCAAGAAATCAGTAGTACTTGGTGCTCTTATCCACCCTTAGGCACATGACCGGGAATCAAAGGTTCTGCTCACAAAAAGAGAATTCAATTTTGAAATTTTGATAAATATGGACTCAAAAGCCTTCTTGTCATTTAGGTTACCTGTATCTCTCTGGCTATCCTTTCTTCCAGTTCCTTCTTTTTCAAACCTCTCAAATTTGCTTGGTCTTCTCTCCGACTGACTTGCCCGTTTGGTTTTGGAGTATTTAGAGGGCTTCACGAGCCTATAGGAGGATATCTTGTGATCACTCTGAATGGCATGAACTACAATAGTATCACTTTCCAATGAATCACGAAATCTGGGGGAAAATAAGGACTTGTCACCATTTCAATCATGCTACACAATTATTACACAATAAAGTAAGATCACAATGTACTATGCTGATAAACAATACCATTATATCATGTTGAGTCCAAAATTCAACCATGTATATACCAACAGGGATGTAGTGGAAGTTGAATAGCACTTAAAGTAGAATTTTCTAATGAAAATACTAAACATCTCATTATTAACGGCATACCATTGTTTTGCCAGTATGTAGAAGAGTCAAATTTTCAAATAGGCTGCAGTTTATGGTAAGTGGATCATATTAAACTCTGAGGAAGTGCAATTCATTTTCCTATTATCTCATATAGTATATATACAAAATAATACATATTTCATATAAAGTGAAGTGAAGTCGCTCAGTCATGTCTGACTCTTTGTGACCCCGTGGACTGTAGCCTACCAGGTTCCTCCATCCATGGGATTCTCCAGGCAAGAATACTGGAGTGGGTTGCCATTTCCTTCTCCAATTTTTCTCCATATTTCTCCATTTTTCTTCATATTTCATACAGTTTCTCCATATTTCATATAGATAATAGATGGGGAGATGATAAATGTATATCATATATTACCCTATTTTCTCTATAAAAACATTAAACTCAGGAGTTCATACTACTTTCTGGTTCACCTTCCTCTTATAGCCTACAGAGATTTATCTTTAAAAAGTTCTTCATCAATTTCATTGTTGCTATTTTTTGGCAGTGGTTCACATTTCCTCATCTTTTAACTTTAGGATTTAATTTAATTTATTTATGTAATCATTCCTTTAAATGTCTGTTGCATCTAAGTTGATTTATAGGTTCAACATAATGGTTACCTGACTTTTGAAACAAGCATCACTACAATCTAGTGAGGAAAGAATGTACCTATCAGCAAATGATAGTAGGTCAACCAGATATCACTATAGAGACAAAAGACACTTGATCTCTCTTACAGCACCCACAAAAATTATCCAAGACAGAAAACAGCAAAACAGTAGAGCTTCTAGAAGAAAATGGAGGATTATTTCATGAACTGGAAATAGGCTAAGAATCCTTAGCTACCATAAAAGCACTAACCATAAAAAGTTAGGGAAAATATAGGGACTTTTCTGGTGGCCCAGTGGCTAAGACTCCACACTCCCAATGCAGGGGGCTCAGGTTTGAACCCTGGCCAGAGAACTAGATCCTACATGCTGCAAGTAAGACATGGCACAGCCAAATAAATTTTTTTTAAGTTAGTGAAACTGTTGATAAACTGAAAAGAAAAACACCAGTAAACAGAACTTTGTCAAAATTAAAAACTTCTGTTCAAAAAGACACTATAATGAAGATGAAAAGACAAGCTACAGAGTAGAGCAAGATATTTTACATGCATGCATGTATACATGTATGCACGGATATGTCACTATATACATGTGTCACGTATATGACAAAAGTCTCATCTAGACTATGACTACCACAACCCAAGTTTTAAATAAGCAAAAGACTTGAACAAACATCTAATGAAAGACGATATACAAATAACCAATAAGTATAGGAAAAGGGAGTGAAAATTGTCACTCATCCAGGAAATGTCATTTTAAATCACATTGACACACTACTACAGAATAACTGAAATGTAAAGATCTGACACTGCCCAGTGATGGCAAGCATGAGTGTTACAGGTTGAATTGCATCACCTAAAAAGAAAATGTTGAAGTCCTAACCATCCCAGGTGGCTCAGATAATATGACCTTATCTGAATAAAGTCTTGACAGAGGTAATCAAGTTAAAATGAGATCATTAGGGTGGATCCTCATCCAACATGACTGGTATCCTTATAAAAAGAGGGAATTTGGACGAGCACAGAGGGAATTTATCTGAAGAGACAGAGAGAATTCCATATGAAGACAGAAGGTTTGGAATGTTATATCAGCAAGCAAACTGAAATAAGTGCTGAGCATGGGTCTAGGCATGGAGGCTTCAGTAGCTGTGGCATGTAAGCACAGTAGTTGCGGGTCACAGGCTCCAGAGTGCTGATTCAGTAACAGTGGCACAGGGCTTAGTTGTCTCCAGCATGTGGGATCTTCCCAGATCAGCAATTGAACCTGTGTCCCCTGCATTGGCAGGCAACCTGTGTCCCCTGCATTGGCAGGCAGATTCTTTACCACTGAGCCACCAGGGAAGCCTGCTCATTGCAGCTGGAGAAAGCCTGCACACAGTAACGAAGATCCAGCACAGCCACAAATAAATAAATCTAGGGGAAAAGAAGTGCTTATGTCAACCAAAAGGCATATACACAAGAATGTTCATAGCAGCATTATTCACTGTAGCCAAAAATAGAAACAACTCAAATATCCATCAGTAGTTAAATGGATGAATAAACTGTGGTATAACCATTGAATAGAATACTACAAAGTAATAAAAACTGCTACCTGCATCAACATGGATAATCTTAGGCATGCTACTGCATAAAAAAGCCAGATACAAGAGAGTTTATATTGAAGCTTTCCATATATATGAAAGTTCACAGACACGACTAATTTATGGTGATAAACATTCATCTTTGGAGAGTAAATAGTGGGAGGAGGACACAAGGGAACTTTCTGGAGTGCTACAAATGTTCCTAATCTAGGTAGTGGATATTTGTGTTTATATATCTACAAAAATGTATTGAGATTTATGCATTTATGTATGTAAATTATATCTAAAAAAGGCAGAAAGTAAAAACAGTCTCTGGGAAGTCACATTAATGCATGAGAGGAATCAGATAGGAAGTTGTCATCTTTCACTACAAGTCCTTTGCCTCTACTTTGTTTTTGATGCTTCCTGGGTGATTTAGTGGTAAAGAATCTGTCTTCAGTGTAGGAGACGTGAGTTTGATCCCTGGGTTGGGAAGATCCCCTGCAGAAGGGAATGGCAACCCTTTCCAGTATACTTGCCTGGGCCAGCAGACTACAGTCCATGGGGTTGCAAAGAGTTGGACTCGACTGAGCATGCACACATACATACTGTGTTAATTAAATATAAGATAAATGATTTGTCACAAACCGAAAACAAATACATATGACATAATTTGGTTTGTAAAAATTTTGCAGATTTAAATGAGAAAGGAATGAGCTCGGGGAGACAGCAACAGTGACGAGAGGATTACTTGAGTTTTAGGAATTAGTAGGTACTGTAGGAGACCAACTATCTGACCACTTCCATAAAACCACTGGAAACTACTTTATTCAAATATCTGTTCATAAACATCTTGATTTGCAGGAAATATGGATCTTACCTATTCTGTAACTTCTTTAGGCCAAGCTGGTGTTTCTCCTTTTCCCAAGCCAATTCCTTTTCCACTCGTTGAATTTTATTAGCTGTTTTCTTTCCAATCTCAGCACGAATTTTGGAATCTAGATCAAAATCCTGCAGATAAGTAGACTTGTTCACCAAAAGGGTACTTTTATCAATGGACTTTAGCAATCCTATTTCATACATAAATATAGATATTTAAGGTTTGTCTTCCATTCCATGCATAACTCCTCCATTCCAACATCATAACTCTCTCCTAAATATCATAAACTCTCTCATTCTAGAATCCACAGACTGATTTTACTGTCACAAAATATGGAGAAAAGTTCTCAGAAATAATTAACAATGATGAAAACAGAGTTACATATTGAAAGATTTGTCCCATAATAAAAAGCAATGAATGTCAATAGAACATTTCCAGAGTGTACCAAGTTAAAAAAAAAAAAAAAAAAAAAAAAACTCTCTCTACCCCAAAGCAACTACTATTACACAACTAGCTGTGCACAGGGTAGAAGTTCATGGCACATGTTCATCAGCTGAACCTCCCCTCCCATGTGACCCCACCTAGGAAAGGCCATAATGTCTTTGGGGACTTGCTGATAAAACCAAGTCTGGCTTGAATATTCTTCACCAAAGGGGTCATTTTCCCCATGAGGATACTTAGGGACCTCATGTTTCTTTACTTCACTACTGGAAAAATAACAGGGCCCTCATTCACACTAAATTGCAAGTAATTATTTTTTCCAGATGTGTTGGTGCTTCTAGTAATGATGTATATAAAATGATCAGCCACAGAACTTGCCCCAGTTGTTCTTTATTTTGGATTAAGTCACCCATATTCTGCAAGTGTCAACCCTTTTATTAGTATAATAACAAACATCTTTTAACCATTAAGTTGGTCTTTTCACCAATATGAGTTTATCAATGTGATTTCACCAATTTTTTTTTAATGAAATTGGCTAAGTGCTTCTAGAATTATAGGACTGGGTAATCCATGGGTATAGTCAAGAAAATAAATTCTGAGCTTTTATTTGATTAGGCTCTTGATAGTAATTGCATTTAAGATAACAAAAAATGGGGAAAAATAATTACTAACAGGTAGAAGTGGTTGTCCCATTTGGGTCACACCAAGAAGCTTTTTTGGGCTTCCCTGGTGGCTCAGAAGGGGTTGTCAATAAAGCACAAGAGAAAAATTTAATAAAAAATCAGCTTAATTTGGCGACTGTCCCCATAGCTACAAATATACTGTTATTTTTTAGTAACTTTGTGGATGAACCAGCTTTTATCTTTTCAACAGAGCTGGTGAATTGTACAAAAGAAATCAGAGAGAATCAAATTATATAGTATGTGCCTATCCAACAGATAACTTGGTTAGGTATGATAAGGATTGATAACCAGATTCAAATTTATATTTATCTTATTACCAAAAGCATGTGAATTAGCTAAATCCAAAAGTAAACTTTGTACAAAGAGACTCATCTACATCCAAACCAACTTGTGTGACAAGTTCTATTGTAGTTTAGCTGCTGCCAAAACACTGACCAGCCAGGCAAGGGAAATTTAAAGATGGCTTTAAGTGTTCCTACTTGTTGGTCAAATAGCAGTCTCGATTCAGGAACAGTATATGTTAAAATTAAAATCAAATTTATTTGAGGCTTACTGTCCGTTTAAACTGCATATGTTTGGGTAATTCTTCATTCATCTGTAGTAGTTTCTGTAATTGATTCCTTAAAGCTTTGATCTGTTCTCTCTTTCCAGCCTTGATTTCTTCTACTTCTTTCATTAACTTGTCATGTTCTCTTTTTCTTCTGGCATTCTCAATACTGAAAATAGAAATTTAAAGATAACATATCTTTAATATAGAAATAGCAAAAAGAAAACTAGTATCTAATAATTTGGAAACTCATTCAGCTTGGCCAACTTTGTTAAAATGCTGATGTGTTTTGCAAAAGCCCAGACCTAGTAGGTATTGATCAAAAATCCCCATACCTGTAGGCTTTAGAATCTTCAATATCTTCTGGAATTGGTTCTGTTTCTAGTCCAAACTGTAGGAGAAGGAATGAAAGGTTAGCCCCTTTAAATTGTATATTTCCCTTAAAAGACTCAATAAGTAGTAAATCAAGGGTTTTTCTCTTAGAGGCCTGGAAAGTAGTTTCACAAAAAAATAAACTAGGGAAAAATTTATATTTGTTTTTACTTCAGTTAAAGGGGTAAATAGAAAAAGAAACCCAATCCCATGTATGCAAAATGTTAATATCATCACATTCCACTTCTAAATAGGAATTATTGATATTCATGTGTTACTAACAAAAATACAGCAAAAGAAATCCTCAAGGTCATTTATTTTCAAATACTTTTTTAAAAAGCATATTCCTTTCATACATGTTTTGATTTCCTTCAAAATACCTCATGCATATGCAATGAAAAATTTCAAATACATATATTTTAAAAATTTTAAGTGTTTCACTTGACCTTACCAAAAACATTCAGTGCGAAATACACAGAATAATATAATCCCTCTCCTTGAGAAGGATATGAAATCAGAAATATGACTCTCCTTTAGAAAGGAAGCTTATTAAGAAGTACTATGAAGTAAATCACTTAAAAGTACTTTGTTTAATAGAGGTTCTGTGCTTAAAAATGTCTTAGGCCTATGTTCTCCTCTAGGAGTTTTATAGTTTCTGGTCTTACATTTAGATCTTTAATCCATTTTGAGTTTATTTTTGTGTATGGTGTTAGAAAGTGTTCTAGTTTCATTCTTTTACAGGTGGTTGACCAGTTTTCCCAGGACCACTTGTTAAAGAGGTTGTCTTTTTTCCATTGTATATCCTTGCCTCCTTTGTTGAAGATAAGGTGACCATAGGTTCGTGGATTTATCTCTGGGCTTTCTATTCTGTTCCATTGATCTATATTTCTGTCTTTGTGCCAGTACCATACTGTCTTGATGACTGTGGCTTTGTAGTAGAGTCTGAAGTCAGGCAGGTTGATTCCTCCAGTTCCATTCTTCTTTCTCAAGGTTACTTTGGCTATTCGAGGTTTTTTGTATTTCCATACAAATTGTGAAATTATTTGTTCTAGTTCTGTGAAAAATACCATTGGTAGTTTGATAGGGATTGCATTGAATCTATAGATTGCTTTGGGTAGTATAGCCATTTTGACAATATTGATTCTTCCAATCCATGAATCACAGCAGGATCCTCTATGACCCACATCCCAGAATTTTAGAAACAAAAGCAAAAATAAACAAATGGGACCTAATGAAACTTAAAAGCTTTTGCACAACAAAGGAAACTATAAGCAAGGTGAAAAGACAGCCCTCAGATTGGGAGAAGATAATAGCAAACGAAGCAACAGACAAAGGATTAATCTCAAAAATATACAAGCAACTCCTCCAGCTCAACTCCAGAAAAATAAACGACCCAATCAAAAACTGGGCCAAAGAACTAAACAGACATTTCTCCAAGGAAGACATACAGATGGCTAACAAACACATAAAAAGATGCTCAACATCACTCATTATCAGAGAAATGCAAATCAAAACCACAATGAGGTACCATTACACGCCAGTCAGGATGGCTGCTATCCAAAAGTCTACAAGCAATAAATGCTGGAGAGGGTGTGAAGAAAAGGGAACCCTCTTACACTGTTGGTAGGAATGCAAATTAGTACAGCCACTATGGAAAACAGTGTGGAGATTTCTTAAAAAGCTGGAAATAGAACTGCCATATGACCCAGCAATCCCACTTCTGGGCATACACACTGAGGAAACCAGATCTGAAAGAGACACGTGCACCCCAATGTTCATCGCAGCACTGTTTATAATAGCCAGGACATGGAAGCAACCTAGATGCCCATCAGCAGACGAATGGATGAGGAAGCTGTGGTACATATACACCATGGAATATTACTCAGCCATTAAAAAGAATTCATTTGAATCAGTTCTAATGAGATGGATGAAACTGGAGCCCATTATACAGAGCGAAGTAAGCCAGAAAGATAAAGACCATTACTGTATACTAACACATATATATATAGAATTTAGAAAGATGGTAATGATAACCCTATATGCAAGACAGAAAAAGAGACACAGATGTATAGAACAGACTTGTGGACTCTGGAAGAAGGCGAGGGTTGGATGTTTCAAGAGGACAGCATCGAAACATGTATATTATCTAGGGTGAAACAGATCACCAGTCCAGGTTGGATGCATGAGACAAGTGCTCGGGCCTGGTGCACTGGGAAGACCCAGAGGGATCGGGTGGAGAGGGAGTTGGGAGGGGGGGACCGGGATGGGGAATACATGTAAATCCATGGCTAATTCATTTCAATGTATGACAAAAACCACTGCAATGATGTAAAGTAATTAGCCTCCAACTAATAAAAATAAATGGAAAAAAAAAAGTCTTAGGGTGCTGAAGAGGATTTATGACCCAGTGAATGAAACAAAAAGTCCTAGTTTTCTAGCTAACCAGTTCTTAAGTAAAATTGAACTTATTTTCTATTCTCTTTCATAGGTCTTTCATAGGTCTTCACATAGGTCTTTGTTTTGCTGTCATTTGTTGTAAAGAAATAATGATTCTCTTTTGATCAAGTTGGTTTTTTAAGTGCTAGTCTTGATACACATAAAATATAAATTACATTTATATAAGACAAGATCTATGACTTTCATAAAGTGAAGTTATAAGTCATGACTAATGTCAGAGACAAGGGATAGCTAATACATTTTAGTTACCATTAATCACTTAGGACAGAACTTGACTGAACTTTGTTCTTTTATTTCTCAGAGCTAAGCCCCTTGCTTCTCCAATATCAGTTGCAATTTGCAAGACTTGATGCTAATAACAGCCAACCATCTCCTGACATCTGCTGTTTACAGCAAATAAGTTAAACAGATGTGCTTCCAAACAGTTCCAAAACACCTGCCAATTGTTCTCAATTCTGACTGCACTCCAAAACCGTTGGGGCTGGGGAAGGGGCAAGTTTTTAAAAATACAGATGGTCTCTGACTTACGATGGTCAACTTAATGACTATTTGACTTTATGATGGTGCAAAAGCAATATGCATTTGGTAGAAAGCATACTTCAGGTTTGGAATTTTGACCTTTTCCTGGCAAAGGACATGCAGTAGATCCTCCCTCAAAATGCTGGTAGCTGCTGCAGCCACACAACCACGAGGGTAAATAACTGGTACCCTCACCACTGGCTGTACCCACAAAACCATTATGTTCACTTCAGTACAGTATTCAACAAGTTATATGATATAGTCAACACCTTATTATAAAATAGGCTTTGCAGTAGATGATTTTGCCCAACTGTACACCAATGTAAGTGTTCTAAGCACATTTAAGTTAGGCTAGGCTAAGCTGTGATATGAAGTAGCTTAGATGTATTAAATGCATTTTCAACCTAAGATATTTTCAATTTATGATGGGCTTATCAGGACACAACCCCATTGCATCATAGGTTGAAGAAGATCTGTACTAATGCCTGGGACTCACTTTCTGAGATTCTGACCTAATTGCTCTTGGGTGGGGCTCAGGCGTCTATGCTTTTAAGAGCTCTTCAGTTATTCTAAAATATGTTAAGAACCTCAGACTGGTGCAGAGCTTAATTTTTGTACTTTGCATATTCAATTCTGTCTGATTTTGCCTTCTTAGAGGCTGCTTCAGCGACTTAAACACTAATTGCAGTCACAAATAAAAGGCAACCATTATAAAAATGTGGAATGGATTTTTTCTATTCAGTATGGGTTTCCATGGAGAGTTGGTACTAAGTAGAAGGATAAAGATTTTCTTCTTGTTCATCTATTTTGTCTTCTGGAAAATTTCTCTTCCTGAGCTGGATCTCTTTAGACAACAGTTCATTCTCCAAATTTTGCTGCAGTTAATAGAAATGAAAATTTACCTGCTCAAATCTTCCCTGCCTTCTCTGCATGTTCTTTTGAAGTGGGTTACCTATTAAATAGGAAGCTGATGTGTTCACAGGAGTTTTAACTTTGGTCGAATACAATCCATTCTTTACAAGCAATTGTAACAGTTATTAGTGATTTTAGCCGAAGGAATCACTTTGATAACAGAAAATTTAGGTCTTGTGATAGGGTAAAGGGATATAATTTGGGGATCCAAACCCTCAATCTTTTTTACAAAGTCAGTAATGTATTCTTTTTAAGAATACAATAATTTGACTGAGTCTTTGATAACACTGTCACATTCTAATAGTAAAGACGATAATACTTTTACAACCCCTTTCAAAAGTACAAATTATGGTATACATCCCACATGTGCCTCTTCAATAAGTGAATGAATAAATAGAAAGCAAAATATATCTGAAAAAAAAACTGTGCATCCTGAAAACAAAACTTTGCAAAGTGATGGAGACAGAAGAATTAACAGTCTTTTTACCTGAAGGACTTCTATACCTTTAATTAATAAATCAAATGACTAAAGTAATAAGGTAAATTCAGTATCTTTAGTATTTGATCACAGAGACACCAGAAAGGCCAAATTATAATACTGGTAGGAAGATTAGACTGTAAGGTATTTATATCCAAATTCATCTTTAAGTGAATGTGAACATTTTAACACCAAAACATTAAAGCAAAGTTGCTGTTACTGTTATTAGTCAGTTACATACCCTGGGAGATGGCACTTTGGCTTTCACAACTTTCTTTAACTCAAACTCAGAAAAAATGTTGAAAACAAAGATATTACTATCTGCTCCAGCAGTCACCAAGAACCGGTCATCAAAGCTAGTAGAGATGGCATTAACACGTCCATAATTATTGTCATGCATATTGAAGTGCCAGTAGTCCTCCATGCTGGTCAATGAAGAATCATTCTTACTTAGGATATATGCTCGAATCGCTCCATTTTGCATTCCACAAAACATCATTTCTTGGTTAATACTATGAAACACAAGGAAAGTACATTGTTCTTCAAATTAATCTGAAAATGCTTAATTTTAAATTAATCGACGAATGGCTAAAGTTTTAACAACAAAGATGTTATGGAGTAAATTGTGTCCCCACAAAATTCAGATGCTGAAGCCCTAAAAAACTATGGCAGCTCTAGTAAACTAATACAAAAGGGTAGAAGGACAAAAAGACAATTTGAAATCTGGAGCTATTATATTTGGTCTTTAAAAGAATGATCAGCATATATGCTTAATTCTCAATTATTCAATTTGTGATTTCTCCAGAACCATTGTAACGTGGAACCTTTGTTATCTGACCATGCAGTAGCATCCTCCTAAGTAACAAAAAGAAAATTGATACAATTTAGTTGTGTAACAAGTTCTGACAGAATGTTTCATAGAAGGATTGAAGTAGTTTCAGGATTAGCTTTGACTCTACTTTAGTCATTTGATTTAACTAAAAATTTAAAAATTGAGTATTCCTCCATTTGGACAGATCTTTAGAAGTGGTAATACTCATGATGGAAAAAACAGAAAATAATGGGATGCAGTTTTTTTTTTTTTTTTAAGAATTCTGAAATTCTGGTCACCTGAAAGTGATAGTTGTGATGGGATTATCCTCTGTATCCTCAAGAAGACGGAAATCAAAAGGTTCATCTTTCCTTACTGTGTTATCACTGCTTTTGTCATCTGGAGGAAATTCACAGTGATATAGAAAACCAGAATCATAGCCACCCTAAAAAAGAGTGAAACAACATAGAAGATAGTACCTGAACACAAGACACATATGACCACATGAGGAGTTTTTGATAATTTAAAATTTTAACACATACAAGAGATGTCTTAAAACATGTATTTTATATAATTTCTATGATTATAGATAAGTTTTACAAAGCATGTCTATTATTCATTTATATTCAGCCATACAATTATAAAAATAAAATACCTTACAATGATTTGTTCCCACTTAAAACACAAAAGAGATATCACTTCTATCTACATACTGAATTCCATTTTATTTCAAGGATTATTCAGTATAAGTAGTATTTAACAATTGAGTTTTGTAGATCATGGTTTTCAGAGATTTCCAGTCTAGGACATTTTCTTTTTCTCCCTAAGGCAATTGCTAATCTTGAAAAAAGCAGCTGAGAAATTAAGAAGCTGAGCAATCTGTAGTCTCATGGGCTTAGAAAAAGGCAAAGAATTCCCAGGGTCCTCCAAGAAGAAGGAGCATTGTAAACACACCTTCCACTGGGCTTTCCATTGCAATCCCACATGTATGAATAAACTAGAAACAGACTGGCCCTCACAGAAAGTAAAACCTAATTTCAAGTCATCTCAGTCACTGACTGGATGAAACTGACCTAGGGTTTCTAGTTGCTTTCCAGAACTGAAAATAAATTTCCAGGCAATAATAGCAATATACAGAGACTCAAGTTGATGCTACAGTTTTTCACAAAGTCTAGCATTCAATTAAAGAGAAAGCAAAAAAGCAACTAAGTGTATTAACAGTCTTGACTGAAAATCAAGAGATAAAAACAGATCCAAGAAACAAAATTATAAGAAATATTGATAGAGGTGTTTCCAAAATGGACTCCTAAATAACTATGATTAATATATTTAGGGACTTTTGAAGGCAGAAAATTTTAGAAGTCAACTAGTATCTATAAAAAAGTAGATAGTGGGAAAAATGAAAATTCTAGAACTGAAAAATAAAATGACAAATTAGAATTCAATAGATTGGTTTAAAAACAATTAGACACAGCCAAAGCTAGAGTTATGAAACTGAAACAGAATCAGAAAAAATAGACTAAGGCAGGAGAGAGAAGATAAAGATGTAAAATTTTTTTAAAAAGGAGTGTAAGATCTGTATGAGGCATAATGATAAGGATTAATATATACAAAATTGGAATTCCACAAGACCAACAATATGGACTAGAAACAGTATTGTGGTTTATAAATGTCTCAGACTTTTCTAAAACTGAATAAAATGCATTAAAGTACAAGAAATGCCAATTACCCACAAGCAAGATATATGAAGAATTTATACCTTTTAACATGAATTTCATGAAACTCCTAGAAGAGAGCATAGGCAAGACATTCTGTGACATAAATGATACCAATGTTTTCTTAGGTCAGTCTCCCAATACAACGGAAGTAATAATAATAATAATAATAATAATAATAATAATGAAAACAAATGGAACCTAATCAAACTCACAAGCACAGCAAAGGAAACCATATAAAAAACAACAACAACAAAAAGTCAGCCTATGGAATAGGAGAAAATATTTGCAAACAATGTGACAGACAGGGGTTTACTCTCCAAAATATACAAATAGCTCATACAACTTCACACAGAAAAACAAACAACCCAATCAAGAAATGGGCAGAAGACTTTAATAGACATTTCTACAAAGAAGACATATATATAGATGGCCATCAGGCACATGAAAAGATGCTTAATATCACTAATTCAGTTCAGTTCGGTTCAGTTCAGTCGCTCAGTCATGTCCGACTCTTTGCGACCCCATTAATTGCAGCACGTCAGGCTTCCCTGTCCATCATCAACTCCTGGAGTTTACTCAAACTCATGCCCATCGACTCGGTGATGCCATCCAGCCATCTCATCCTCTGTTGCCCCCTTCTCCTCCTGCCTCCAATCCCTCCCAGCATCAGGGTCTTTTCCAACGAGTCAACTCTTCGCATGAGGTGGCCAAAGTACTGGAGTTTCAGCTTCAGCATCAGTCCTTCCAATGAACACCCAGGACTGATCTCCTTTAGGATGGACTGGTTGGATCTCCTTGCAGTCCAAGGGACTCTCAAGAGTCCTCTCCAACACCATAGTTCAAAAGCATCAATTCTTTGGCGCTCAGCTTTCCTCACAGTCCAACCCTCACATCCATTCATGACCACTGGAAAAACCATAGCCTTGACCAGACCGACCTTTGTTGGCAAAGTAATGTCTTTGCTTTTTAATATGCTTTCTAGGTTAGTCACAATTTTCCTTCCAAGGAGTAAGCATCTTTTAATTTCATGGCTGGGCTGCAATCACCTTCTGAGAAATGCAAATCAAAACTACAATGAAAACTAAAAATAGAATTGCTGTATGATTCAACAATCCCACTCTTGGGCATATATCCAGACAAAACCATCATTCAAAAAGATACATGCAACCTTATGCTCATAGCAGCACTATTCAATAGCCAAAACATGGAAACAACCTAAATGTCTATTGACAGATGGATGGATACGATACTAAGTGACATTAAGTCAAAAAGAGAAAAACAAATACCATGCTATAACAGTAATATGTGGAATCTAAAATATGACACAAGTGAACCTATCTACAAAACAGAAACAGACTCACAGAGATAAAGAACATATTTGTGGTTGCCAAAGGGATGGGGGAGGGAAGGGTTGAGAGTGTAGGATTAGCAGATATAAACTATTATATATAGATGGATAAACAAACATGGTCCTACTTCATAGCACAAGGAGCTATATTCAATATCCTGTGATAAACCATAATAGCAAATAATTTTTTTAAAAAAGGAATATCTATATGTATATAACCAAGTCATTTTGCTGTATAGCCAGAGATCGGCACAATATTGTAAATCAACTTTACATCAGTAAAAAAAAAATAAAGAATTTACACATTTTAACACAAAATCTTCAAAGCAATGAGAAAAAAAGATACATAAGGTTACAAAGAAATAATAATAAAAAGATATAAATGGTAGAATGGAAGACAAAAGATGATAAAAATATAGTTTTGGAAAGAAAATATACAGAAGAAATAAAAAAAATTTAAAGGCAAAATAGGCACAATAAGGCAAAAACAAAACCCAAACTCATATATACATATATATATATATGTATGTGTATATAAATAATTTTGCAATGAGGTGTGGGGGAGGATACACAACATTAAATGCCCAAAGATTTTTTTTCTCTAGAGCTAGTAAAAGAATAAATTTATGTGAAATTATGGGTTTCAAAGGTGGTGCAAGTGGCAAAGAACCCACCTGCCAATGCAGGAGACATAAGAGACACAGGTTCAATCCCTGGTTTGGGAAGATGCCCTGGAGAAGGGAATATCAACCCACTCTGGTATTCTTGCCTGGAGAACCCCATGAACAAAGGAACCTGGAGGGCTATGGTACAGTTCAGTTCAGTCACTCAGTTGTGTCTGACTCTTTGCAACCCATGGACTGTAGCATGTCAGGCTTCCTTGTCCATCACCAACTCCCAGAGCTTGCTCAAACTCATGTCCATCGAGTCGGTGATGCCATCCAACCATCTCATCCTCTGTCATCCCCTTCTCCTCCCACCTTCAATCATTTCAGGCATCAGAGTCTTTTCCAATGAGTCAGTTCTTTGCATCAGGCGGCCAAAGTATCAGAGTTTCAGCTTCAGCATCAGTCCTTCCAATGAATATTCAGGACTGATTTCCTTCAGGATGGACTAGTTTCATCTCCTTGCAGCCTATGGGCCTCTCAAGAGTCTTCTCTAACACCGCAGTTCAAAAAGCACCAATTCTTCGGTGCTCAGCTTTCTTTCTAGTCCAACTCTCATATTCATACATGACTACTGGAAAAACCATAGCTTTGACTAGATGGACTTTTGTCAGCCAAGTTATGTCTCTGCTTTTTAATATGCTGTCTAGGTTTGTCATAGCTTTTCATCCAAGGAGCAAGCGTCTTTTGATTTCATGGCTATGGTACATAGGACCACAAAGAGTCAGACAGAACAGAAGCAACTGAGCATGCATATTAAAATAAGGGTATATATTATGATCTTTAGAATCACCACTAAAATAGTAATATATAATATTATATATTACATTAATATATAATATATAACATATAATATGTAATATATATTTATATAATATAAATATTATATATAATAAATAATAAATATAGTAATACATATATAAAATAATTTAATAGAGGAGGAAAATTGGGGGGACTACCTAACCATCTGATAGAAGGTAAAAAGGGGAACATATAACTGGAATTGGTGTGATAAATAGAAATAACCGGACAGTAGATTTAATCTAAAATATATTAGTCACGACATTAAATGTAAATGGACACAGCATTCTATTAAAATAAAGATTTTACTACAGGATTAAAAAGAAAAAGCCTAACTTTGTGCTGCTTACAAAAGATATACTTCAAAATAAGAATATCAAATGTAAAGGAAAAAGAAAAATCATCAACAGCTCTGAGTTCTGGCTTAGAAACTGGGTGGATGGTTGTTCCATTTACTGAGATGGAGATGGAGCAAGTTTGCATAGAGCAAGTGTGATTTTTAAAGTTCTATTTTGGACATGTTCATTTTGAGGTGACAAGTAGAGATGTCAAGTTGGATGTTCAAGGCTGAATATGAGAGGAGAGGTCAAGACTAGAGATAAACATGAGATTTGCTGACATATAATTGATGCTTAAAGCCATGGGACTAGATGAAAGCATCTAGCAAGAAGGAGGCTGCCCAAGAACTCGAACATCTTCAAGTTCTTCAAAGTTAAAAGCTAGTTCAACAAATAAGAAGCCAGCAAGAGAAGCTAAAAAGGAGTGACCTGGCCAGCAGAAAGTGGTGTCATGGAGGCCAGACCCCCCAAAAAATGCTTTAAGAAAGACGGAAGGTCAACTCTATCACATGCTTCTGAGAGGCCAAATGGACAGAGAAGTGGCCACTGAGCTTTACAGTATGGAAATCTTTGAT